GCGTTCACAAGAATGAGAAAGATACAAGGTCAAAGTGACGTTTGACCACCAAAATCTAAACAGTTCGTTGACTCAAAGTGAACGTTTGTGCCAAATTTGAAGACATACCCTCAAGTTGTTCTTGAGATATCACGTCCGTCTATCACAAGAATGCAATAGATGGACGGATGGCCTGAAAACAAAATGGCTCCGGCCACGTAAATTACTGGCGCAGAGGCGTGAAACTGTGGTTAAAGACTGATTGTTAAAGTTTTTTATATGACGTCATCAGATGATTGTGACTGATGCATTCATGTGAAGTAGGATTTTACTGTTGTAGTTCGTTGAGGTGGAGCTTATTATAAACTATTTACTAATGACTGTTTTCATTATGGATTAATCTGCTGATCATTTTTTCAATTAATCAACTGGCTGTTTGATGATGTAAAAATAGTGAGATATGTTTGTCACAATGAGACAGAGCCCAAAGTGACACCTTCACCATGTTTGTTTAACCTCAACATTATTAATAATACATTACAACTGTTACGATAATTACCAATAATTACAAATAAAGATTATTAATACATTACATTTATTGACATTGATACTAATATTAGAATTGTTAATATTATTTAAAGGAAAAATTTGTTAAAAATGGAACCATGAATATCGAAAACAGTTTTGTAAGAACTTGTATATGTTTTGTGTACAAACTTCATTTGTAAAATAAAGCTGTCAGATAATTTTAGTGAAGCATAAAGCAACATGAAAAGACTTACTGACAGACTTTATAAATGTTGGACGTGTTTGACACAGATGGAAGTTTATTTTGGTCACACGTACAGTTTGTAGCAGCAAACCTTTTTCATTTTTTACAGTGAAGTGCAGGATGTAAGCACTTCATTTGGCTGCAGAAGTAAAAAGTTAAACCAAGACATATGCGGTTAATAGCTGAATAATACCTCGAGAAAAACATGCACTTTAAGGCACCATATGCTGCATTCAGGACCACATGGAATTCAGATTTTTTTTCTGATGTCACATTCAAAATGTAGCCAAATATTTATAAACAAGTTAGGAACTATCATGCACAGTTTAAGTGCTGATTAAGTACATTTAAAATACTCAGGTTGAGGAAGCTTCCTATTTCCCAGTTGCCCTGAATGCAACATTAAACTGTCTTTATTTAACAGTGAACAAGAATAAAAAACATTTAATATAATTCGCACTGACGACAGGAAGTGATGTAAAAATGTCAGAAATGTGACTGTACAGTTTCAGATTGACTTTAAATGAAATGTGATGAAGTTTCATAACGATTTCTGTTTGTGGCAGTGAACGTTACACGAGCTGTGAGCAGGAAGTTTAACATGACGTACGACACAACTGATCCACACACAAATGTGTGTCATTATTGGTTTAACTAAAAGTGTGAACGCTGTCGGATCAGAAACATTTGAGGAAAGTGCTGATTAGACAGAACTCAACTTTTCTTTCTTTTTATAATCACAGAAACAGACGATTCGTCTGATGACAATATTTTATATTCAACTTAAAACAGGAAAAAGTTTTTTCTCTTCAAACTTGAGACGCTGGAGCCAGAGAGACGACAGCCAACTAAAACTAATTATTATCAAAAATTTGTTAATTTTCTGTAAATCGGAATGTTTCAGCACTTTTTTGTTTTTTATTTGTATCAGAAATTGTTTCTCTTTTAACACTTGTGCTTTTACAATAACTGAATTTCAGCGATACAAAAACAAACAATCAATAATCAGTCATTCAGATTGTTGTTATTGAATGTTGATCAACTAATTAGCAATTAGCTAATTAGCTGGTCCAGCAATTATTGTTTTCTTTAAAAATAAAGAGGGCTGGGCATCATTGACGATATCTGATACAAGTATTGATACAATTCCTAATGATCAGTATAGATAGCGTGCCTGAATTTTAATGTTACCAACAACAAGTAATCAATTATTACGACTATTTATAATGAAGATCAATTACTTTATACTGATTGAATGTTTTGTTGTTTTCTGTTTAAAAATATTTAAAATAATAATAAAACAAATACAATAAAAAGTTTGTATGCATGAGTATCATCTGACATGTTTTGACACTGATATGTGATATGATCCTGATTTTCAGCACAGATACCAAAATACATAATCAATTTTTTTTTTAAGTTGACTAATTGTTTCATTGTTTAAACTTTTTTTGTTTTTATCTTTCTATCAAAACTTAGAATGTTTTAAATACTGCCAGTAACATACTGATAATGACACCAAAAACTAATAATCAATTATTGAGTCTGTTTTTAATCTTTTTTTTTATTATTGATTAAGTAATTAACTGTTTGAGCAGCTTCTTTCTTTCTTCCTTTTTTAAATTAAAAAGAAATTGGGGCTGGTTATCATTTATCAGATACAGTACGTGAAATTCAGTTCTGACACCACAAAAAAATTATTGATTTTTAAAAGTGCTCTTGAACCTGACTGATTGTTTTAACAGCTCTTTTTTGTCTCTTCACAGTAACTCTATCACACGTTCTTCAATCCTGGTACTGACATGATTTCTAAATTCAGTGTAAAAATAAATTAAACGATCTGTCAGTTAATCAACTGACTGTTCAAGCACTTTTTTGTTTTGTTTCTTTTTCTATTAAAACGTTTCTCAGACATTTTGTGGTGCCAACAGGACGATACATTTTTTTCTGCTTTACCTTCTTTTACTTTTTCATTTTTGTTTTTAATTTCCATTTAACAAAAGAAGACAGAGTTTTGAAATGTAAAACATCTACATAAAAATGTAAAAATTGGAAAATACTTTTGCGTTGCCAATTGGTTGAGTTTAAAGTTGCTCACACATGATGTCAGTGTTTGCCCTTTAAATCGACCTCCGTCCCACCTGTGATCAAACGCGTCTCTCAGGACGACGATGCGTTCAGGAACGGGTTCTCTTCGCCCTGGTGGCTCTTCATGTGCGTCTTCAGACAGTGGCTCTGAGTGAAGGCTTTGTCGCAGACACTGCACTGGTACGGTCTCTCCCCGTTGTGTGTCCTCATGTGGACCGTCAGGTGTTCTTGGCGAGAGCACGCCTTCCCGCAGACCGTGCAGACGAACAGTTTGATGCCCAGGTGGCTCCTCACGTGGTTGTTCAGGTGACTCTTGCGTTTAAAAAAGCGGCCGCACTCCGAGCAGCCGTACGGCGCCTCGCCAGTGTGCACACGCATGTGCGCCTTGAGCTCGCCGTTGGATATGAAGCCTTTGCTGCAGATGATGCAGATGAACGGCCGCTCGCTGCTGTGCGTCTTCATGTGAGCCGTTAGGCTGCAGTTTGAGATGAAGGTCTTGCAGCAGATGTGGCAGAGGTACGGCCGCTCTCTCTCCGTGTGCGTCTTCTCATGCGACTTTAACGTACCAGGAAGTTTGAAGCTCTTCCCGCACACGCCGCAGCTGTAACGCCTCTCCCCCGAGTGCGTGGCCTTGTGACGGGTCAGAGATCGCAGGTCGTAGAAAGACTTGCTGCAGAGGTTACAGTGGTACTTGTCTCGCCCCGTGTGCACCTTGATGTGAGCTCGCAGCTGCGCCTTCAGACCAAACGCCTTCGGGCAGATGTGACACTTGTGTGGTTTATCCTCCACATGCACCCAGCGGTGGATACTCAGGCCGGACATGTGAGGGAAGCTTTTGTTGCACACGTCACATTTGAACGGTCTGTTTCCTGTGTGCAGCGTGGTGTGGCACTTGAGGCCGGTGATGGTGAAGAAAGACTTCCTACAGTAAGAGCACTCGTGAGTTTTCTGATATTTTTTCAAATGTACCTTTAACTCCTCCATGGACTCAAAGCGCTCTCCGCACACGCCGCAGACGCTCTGCACCTCATCCAGGTGGCTCCAGGCGTGTTTGATCAAGCTGCCCAGTATCCTGTACCAAACGCCACACACCTTACAGGGGATTTTATCACTGCCGATCAACCGCCCCTCTACACCTGATGCTCTGGCTCCTCGCTTCCTCCTCATCTTCGGCGTCCCCAGCACAGGGTCGGGTTTCCAGTCATCATCTTTGTCTAACGCCTCATCTCCATCTTTGTCATCGTCGTCGCTGGACTCCACCTGGCTCTCAGCAGCGTCTCCATCATCAGCTTCCTTTGTTCCCACCTTCTGTTGTTGTGACGCTGAGCTGCTGGACAGGACGTCCGCTCCGTTACCCTCCACGTGTTGAACGGGGCTGACGGGAGCAAAAACAATCAGTTACTTTGTGGAAAAGTTTGTCGACTGTCGACATGAACACCACCAGGAAATACTTGTAACTTGAGAGTCAGCTATCGAACAGGAAGTACTGCGTTAGGGATGTCACTAATGTCGGGTTCAGACTACACGATATCAGCCTGATTATAGCCTAAAGTAGACGACAAACGACGCCACGTCTGGGACGCCACACGACGTCCCGACAGAAAGTCTGGCATGTTTGATTTTCTTTTAGTCGTTCCCGTCACAGCCGTCACTTTGACCAATAGGAACACAGAGCGATCTGCTGCCGTGGAAACTGTACGACAACAACAGCCCAGCCTTTTAGATATTTCCTGTCGGGAAAACAAATTTCATTTCTACATTACCTTGCACTGAGGTCGGCTCCGTCACTTCTGATCAGCACAGCGGCGGAGGACGGAGAATCACTGGTGACCTCATCATTTCTCTGCACAAGGCGAAGCTCCTCCTCCTCCTCCTC